CGCCGGGCCGGGGGCCGGGACGCGGCTGCAGCACGGCCGGGGTCGGGGGAGCCCTGTGAATTCTGAAACCCGGCAGTGTAGTCTCCTGTTGAAGTAGCCGGGCGCCGGTGGCTCAGGCCTGTCATTCTAGCTCCTCAGGACCCTGAGATCTGAGGATCGCAGTTCAAGGCCGCCTGGGCCGGAAAAGTCCGTGAGACTTATCTCCAATCAGCCATTCAGAAAAAGGCAGAAGTGTGATGTGCGTGGTTCAAGTGGTAGAGTGCTAGCCTTGAGCCAAGGGACAGTGCCCAGACTCCTGAGTTCAAGCCCCACGACTGAAAAATAGAAAATAATTCTCTATGATTCTGATTTGAGTGGGTGACCAGCTCCATGAGGAGGTGACACAGGGGCTGAGTTGAATGACAAGGACTCAGGGTCGCCTGGAGCTAAGAGCTAGGAGAGGACAAAAGCCCAGCCTAAGGACTGCAGCTACAAAGGCCCCAGAGATGAAGGGGATGAGATGAAGTGGGATTAAGAGAAATAAAATTGTAAGGACCCCAGGGCCAGGATCAGGAGTTTGGATTTCATTCTGAGTGTGCCAGGGAGGTCAGCTGGAGGGTTTTACACCAGATTTACATTTTAAAAAGATTATCTGGCAGCTGCAGTGGGGGATGGTTTTCAGGCAAAAGAAGTCAGAAGGAAAACCTGTCAGGGATTATGAAGGCTGGGATGTGAGAACACATCAGACTTGGGCAACTTTGGAGATGGCCCAGGTGGAGTTGGACTGGGTATAGGAAATAAATATCAGGCTTGGGGTATAACTTGTGAGCCACTACTTGGGAGGCTTTTTGTGTGGAAGTGGTAATGGTGGGGTTAAGAGCTAGGAAAGGGGGGCTGGGAAGGTGGCTCAGTGGTAGAGGGCTTGCCTTGCACGCCTGAGGCCCTGGGTTCAATTCCTCAGCACCACATAAGCAAAAAGAAAAAAAAGCCAGAAGTGGCGCTGTGGCTCAAGTGGTAGAGCACTAGCC